TGGAAGTCATAAAACGTATTGCATTGGGGGAAGAGGTTATGCTTTGTTTCCACAGGAAAGGAAAGATTGTGGGTTCCTTCAAGGTTAATACAGATCAGGTTTGATTGGGGGAGACCTCCTAAAAATCTTGCCTACAGACATAAAGAAATAAAGCAAGAAAAACTATAAGACAATGAGGCATGTCTGCTCCTTGCAGAATCAATCTACTTCATAAAAGGATTATGGGCATTGAAGAACTTCCATATGGAACTTGCTTTCAATGTGGCAAAGCTAGCCATTTGGACAAGAACCTGCTCTTGCCTCAACTGCTGACAGTATGCTGTCCAAACTAGATAAACCAAACAAAAAGGAAAAGGACTGGTAAATTTTGCCAAAACAAGACAGGACAGTTCTTCAAAGTACCTGCTCCATAAAAAAATCTGCCAAATACTCTAGGTCTGTCAGCATAAAATGGATGCCCCAACATTGCAGAGCAATCTTGGGTGACTGTCCAGGCAGCCATATGTCTCTATCATTTCTATAGTTTTGGAAGTGGCCTGCAGTGAATTTCCTGTTTACGCAGGTAATAGCACATACTTCTAGGGTCTTTGACGTTGTTGACGACTAGATAGTTATATTTACATCTTTCCTTATGGTAGAATGTAAATTAGGTACAAAACTTTGGACTCAACATGATAGGATAAATAATGAAGTTATTTTCTCTGAATTTGTCAAATAAAATGGACTGGACATTGTAAATGCAATTCTTACTTGATAACTGTTCTTATTGTATGTACTTTTACTATGTTAAAGTTAAAACCCTTTTTATTTGGACAAAAGGGAGAAATGTAGAATATTATTTTATACAAATATGTGTTTGTTATATTTGTTTATTTTGCAGAATATTACTTTAACTATATAAAGATGGGTTACACTTATGTTGCATTTGTTTAATGATGTAAAGGTTGATCTAATAACAAGCTGAATGGTCAACAGCTAGACAGTAGAAGAATAGGTAAGGCTGGCAAGCAGAGGAAGGATCTAGGGGAGAGAGAGAGAGAGAGAGAGAGCGCCCCAGGGCCAACCAGCCAGGTGGCAGACAGACAGACACAGAGTAGGACATACAGAATGAAAGGAAAATAAAAAGGCCTGAGCAAAATGTAGATGAAGGGAAACAGATTAATTCAAGTTATAAGAGCTAGTAGGTCAAGCATAACATAAGGCTGAAGAGTCATAATTAACAATAAGTCTCTGTGTCATGATTTGGGAGCTGGCTGGTGGCCCCAAGAGAAAGCCTACTACACTCAAGCATTATTGAACTGTCAACACCTTCAACCACAGTTTTTTTGTGATTGACACTGAAGTGACTTCCCAGCAGACTGTGATCTCTTTCCACTCAAACACACTAATTCCTAACTACCTATGCCTGGCTAGAATAGAAATATATCAAACCACACACAGAAAACAGCTAGACTTTATTCTGAAAATTTGCTGTGATAACTACTACTTACACAATAAAAATGGGTTACCAGGAAAATAAATTAAAAGTCAAGCAAAAGAAAATGTCATTATTTTTTCTTATTTATTTTTTGTAATACCAAACTATACCAGATGCCTATAAATGTTTCTGAATGTTTATTCTCAGTTTATGCCTTTTCCACAATACTTCAACCACTCCTGGAAGTACCATATATGCTATACTATGCTCTAGAGGCAATCTGTGCACATACATTCTAATACACTGCTTTAGAAAGCTTGAAAGCAACTTCATGTAAGGACCGAACATGCTTTTTAAAGCTGTGTGATTCTCAACCTGTGGGTTGCAACCCCATTTGGGGGTTCAAACAACCATTTCTTAGGGGTCACCAAAGACGATCAGAAGGAAGATATTTATATTAGGATTCATAACAGTAGCAAAATTACAGTTACAAAGTAGCAATGAAATAGTTTAATGGTTGGGGGTCACCACAACATGAGGAACTGTACTAAAAGGTCACAGCATTAGGAAGGCTGAGAACCACTGATTTAAAGGAATAAGTGTTGTCTTAGTCAATAGGACAGCTGATGCACAGGGCAGCAAGGAATACTCTCGCTGAACACCTGACACATTATTGCTCTGCGTTACTTGAGTGGCTAGTCCCATACTTTTAACTCTATGACAGGGAAGAAGGTCAAAAATAACTTCATTCTAAGAGCTACTCTGGGTCTAGAAAGGTAGCACAGTTGCACAATTCTTGATTGGTATGTGCTAAACCATGAGACATAGTAAAGATAGCACAGCTTTTAAAAAAGGAAAGGACCATGAAGTCTTACCAACATGGCTACCTAAACATGAGCTAAACAAGGATAGCGCCAACAACAAACATGCTGGTGGGAAGGTTCACAGGGCCTAAACCCTAGACAAAGAATTACAGGAAATCATGCAATGCTAAGAATAGAAGGAGGCAGCCCCAAAGAGAGCACACCAATTAGTTATCCAACACCAAATGGTTAAACCTGAAAACATGTACATACAAATAATACTATATGAACTAAGTAGGCTGGATTTATACTTAGGAATACACATATTTATATATACATGTATATGCATATATATAAACACATGCACACATAAATAAATATATGTGGAACAATAATGAAAGAAACCGAGGACATGCATTTGAAAGGAAAAGGGGTTACATGCAAGGGCTTTGAGGGAAGAAGGGGAAGGGGAAAATGATGTAATTATAATTTAATTTTTAAAAGGTACCATCCTGGATCCAGTTGAAAAGAATTCTAAACTTGTGATTGGTTACACAGAGATAACCCTCAGGTTATTTCCAGTGGTCTTGGACTTGAAACACTCCTAAGGCCCTACGGTTTTAAGCAAAGGAGGACTGTGTTAAGGTGAAGCAGTGTAGGAAGGTTGAGAGCCTACTGCTCTAGAACATGCTCTGAGAGTTCAACCATCCCATCATGCCCAGTGCTACAAGAGACAGCAAATACAAAGGGCTGAGAGGTGACAGACATTGAGATGCCTATGTCAGTATCTCTGCTGCAAAAGTATTCACATAGCAGCTACTGCATGCCAAGGTCATTCTGAAAATGAAAGTCAAACAGAAAAACTATGCCCAGGAAATTCCATGGGACGTCTCAGAAGCCTTAAGCTCAAGTTGCCACTGTCTCCAAGGAGAAAGGCCACAAATCAATAGTACTGGGATTTGGTGTCAACAGTCTAATACATATTTAAAACAGAAACAAAGAACAAAGCATGAACTATTTAAAAAAAAGAGAATCTTTTAATTCCTTAATGATTCACAATTCAACACTATAAATCGTATGATTAATGACAGAACAATTTTAAATTCCCATATTTATATGTCCTATATTGAAGATGCTCTCTGATAAACTGATGGTGAGCTCAGGGCCCACACCTGTACTCAAACCCTGCTGGGAATGCTGTACAGCTCTGGCACACGGGGCACTCTGGAGCATCCTTCATCCGAGATGCAGAACTGAGAGTGGTGGCATCACCTAACTCAGCAGGGTCAGGCTCATCAGTCTGCAGGGTCAGGAAAGTCTGAGGGGAGGGAAGGGCTTCCATGAGCCATGAGCCCCTCTCTAAGATGACTTCAAAAACCCTGAACCTGTGGTCTCCAGAGCTGAGGGCCTGGTATTCCCACCTCTGAGAAACCTTCATGGAGAAGCATCTTTGCTTCTCTATGCACGAGTTTACAAGTGTATGTGGGTATCCAGACATCAGGCACAACACACAAGTGGACACGTTCAAGGCTCTCGCAATTCGCCTCCATGTTTGTTTCGAAAACATGAAATATGATAAACTTTTCATATTTTATCCCTGAAGTGTGAATATCTGTAGTTCTCTCGGGCTGTGGTGTAAATAGGACCCATTTTAAAAAAGGCTCTCAGACCAGACTTCTGCCTTCCTGCCTGATATCCCCCTCCGTCAACACACACACACACCCCTGGGACCAGGCACACTGGGGCCTTAGCTCCTGTTTTCAGGGTACTGTGTCTTCCCAGTGCTAGGCCCTCTCCTAGCTGTCATTTGACAGGGATGCTCCCACAACAGTCTTGTCACCTACCACACATGGTCACACCTACCTTTGTATTTCTTCAACCCATTTTAAATATCTCTTCTGCAGAAAGATCTCCCCTAGACCATGTCTGTAAGGTCTTTGGCTCACATACTTTCATAGGATGTGGTACTTTTTTGTGGTATTCAGTATAGCTAGAATTATCTGGACCATTGTTTTAAAAGCCTTTCCTACCCACCAATGACAGGTTCCACTACCACTTCATCCCAGCGGTGTGGAGAAGTGCTCACCCCGCCTCAGTGTCCCCAGGGCCCTGTCTCCTCCAGCACCCTTTCCCTGTGCCCCCGTGCCTGGTACCTTCCTTCAGGTCAGGTAACTGCTTCTCAGCTTACCTCCTAATATCGTCACTGATATCAACCTACTTCTCACCAGGTGGTAAAACTTTGCATTGCCAATCCATCTCTTAGAAATTTATTTCCAAAACTGTCAACTTGAGTAACTAACTTCTCTTTAACCACTAGGAGTATTCCACAGTCTTCCATTTCCCCTCAAACAACATTCAGATCCCCCTGCTTTCAAAGCCCTGGCTAGTTCTAACTCTTCTGGCCTATGGCTTCATCTAACCTTTGACTCTCCTACATTACCCCAGCCAGTCTCTTCCAGGTTTCGTCAGCTGGACAAAAAGTGGGTAGAGCCATCAAACCTTACTCCAGTTCCCAGCCCTCCTGCGACACCCTCACCAAAGGACACTGGCTGAAGTAACACATGTCAACACAGAAAAATGACCCTGTCCCACAATGGCCGTGCCCACGCTCTCACGCTTCTGGCCTCGTTCTGCAGGGCGGGAAGGGTGGCCCAGGCCTCCCCACACACTCTCAACAGGCAGTCCCTGAATAACACAGGGCAGTTTAGGAAAGCTGTTTAGAATACCTGGCCAGCACTAACATCCTTTGTGAGATTCATGCAGGGAAACTTCTCCCTTACCTGAAGCAACAATGGTGCTTGCCCACAGTGTGTTTTCTATACTGAGACTTTCATGAATGGGAGGATCACTGTCTTCCTGTATAGGGAGAAAAAAACAAAACAAAACTGGAAAATTAGCAATGCTCTATTCATATCCCAGGTAGCAACCGTGTTAGAAAAGAAACATGCCCATCATCTGTACCCAACTCATTACAAATACAAGTCTCAAGGGGACATAAAAACATGAAATTACAACCTGATTGACCCATATATACACACTAATTGTTAATGCTTACAATATAATATGTGGTTTTAAATGTTCGTAGGTGCACTCATGGAATGCTGATTATTTGTAGAGAATAGGCTAAAATATTTTTTTTAAACATATGGTGTAAGCAACACTCCTACTCTGAGATTTACCTTTCCTGGAAAGTTAAAAAACTAATATTAGCACACACATAACCATGAGTAAACTATGTTTCATAAACATGGTAGAATTTCCTCTATTTTTGTCAAGGACGAGGGCTATTCTTTAATAATATAGAAACATGCTCACAAACAGCGAAAAATGATTTTGTGACTATTAGTAACACACAGGAGAAAGCTATAATTTCTCTTAAATCCCCCTTTAAAATATAATGCTAGATATGTTTCATTAAGCAGAATTCATATAGAAGGTGTTTGAGGCTAATTATATATGTGAACATCAAATGTACCCAAATAGCAATACTACAATAGATACAGTTTAATTTTATGTGTACATATTTCGTGCTGATATTCAGAGACAAAATATACAAGCTGAGGATTTCATCTTAATGTAAAGCCACTGTCTATATTGTGATCATGGGAGCCTTGCTGGAGTACAAGATCATGATAGCCCAAAGATCTGCATGTGACAGTGATCCCAGGAAGAAAACACACACCACAACAGGTGGCCTCAGTGTCTGCACACGGGAAAAAATCATCTCACATGGTCTCCATTGTTAGAATCATTCCTCAATGCAGTAACTTCCACAGGATTTTTATTAACTTGATAATTTGCTATCAGCATACATTCCCAAATAACAAAGATTCACATGTGAGGTGGAAAGAGTCTGGAACTATGGGCATGCCTTTTCCATTGTACCAGGCCATCTTCAAATGATGCCTTTTCCAGCTATCTGCTAGCCAGGGAATATTTTTGGTGCCCAATTCTCTGATTTACATTTAAGGCACAGAACGTAAACTCATATAGCTACTTCGAAATACTTCCAACACTGCCACAATTTACAGAGTAAAATGGTTTGTTTGTCCCACAGGCACCCTGTATGCATCTGACAGAAAACCATTATTATGAAACCTACTTGCCTTCCTGCAGCCGAGTTCAGGCTTCTATCTTACAACTGCGATCCCTGCGCTCCTCTCCAGAGAAGACAGCACCCTAAACCTAGCCATGCTCTGGCCTGGGTTTTGTGACTGTGAAGGCTATCGTGTCAGTAAGAGTGTAAAACAGATGTTTTAAAAATACATGTATCCTCGTTTGTGGGTGGTGCTTAAAAAAAAAGGAACACTTCTGAAATCATAGAATGAAGTTTAATTTATGCCTGCCCTGGTTACACTACTCCTAAATACAGGAATCAAACACAGGGCTTCACATGTGCACACAATTGCTCTACCACAGATCAACATCTCTAGACCAGCTAAGACCTCTTCATGTGGAAAAGCTGAGGCTTATTTCAACTCAATAAAAATGTTCATGTCTTCTAGGGAGAAAAAGAGTCAAACAATCATATCTGTATCTATTTAAGGGTGACAGACTATAAGCATGTGTATGCTTTTATCACTTTATTTGATAAAATAAGGGTGATAAAATGTTTACGGAGCTCCTGCGGGGGACCTCCCATACCATCACTAGTCACACACAGCCTCTGGAGTAACTTGCTTCATGTTTTCAACACTGTCTTCCATGGATAATGCCAAGAATACACTGCATTTTTCTCCAGTTCAGAACTAAAATTGCTCTTCAAGGTAAACAAATAACAGCCATCTAAGGAAAATTAGGTTTTCCCTTTATTTTTATGGTTTAATAGAACAAAAGAATCAACTTATAGGAAACACGGGTCATCTTGATGGACTACTTTACTATTTATTTGACACCATGGCTGAACTACAATGACAACTTCTGAATCCCTCACTGCCAGAGAGAGAGGTTCTGATGCTCTTTGCTGTTCTTACACAACACAGTCAATATGGAATAACCTTCAGTTCTAGCTTGTTCTAAGGGTTTCAGCAATGGGATACACAACTAGACACTCTCTGATCTGCACATTTATCATTTTACAAAATGACTCCCTAAGGATTATAACCTTAATCACTACAGGGTTAACTTTTGCCCTCCACATACAGAAAAGGAGCATAAACTTAGCCAATACATTAATAACTGAAAAATAATGAGGAACTCTCTACCTTCCACAGACACCATGAGTCCACAAACTTGACAGCATGCGCAAGGCCACGCCAGCCACTAAGCTGAGCTGTGGCACAGAGAACCTCGAGCAGGTAGAGAATGCAATGAAAGCCTCAGAGAAGGAGCCAAGCTGTGTTTTGTGGATGGTCACTGGGCGGGGCCAGGAAAGCACGCCCTACAGACACACCCAGTAAGAGATGCAGGCAGGCTTCCCTTTAGCCCACCCTCATTTACCCCTGAGCACACGCACTTCAAGCCCTTCAGACCAGTTCATGCGGCTCAGTAGTGAACTGAGTCCCAGCCATCGGAAAGCACACGTAATGAACTCCAAAAGTCTGAGGTAGGGCCTCGTTTATGCAACAAAATATACAGCCAGGTAGGGTTATAACAAGACTCTGTTTCAAAAAAAATAATTAACAAAACAAAAACCTCTTTTAAGGCTTCCTCCAAAAACCCTGTCAAAAATTATTCACAGATGTTTACCACTGTCATATTTCCCATTTATGTCAAACTCTCAGGGGCAGATGGGAGTTAAAGCAGGTAACAGTCTTATAAAACTGAATGGGAAATAAAATGATATACAATTTAATTTTAGAAATTTCCCATTAATTTTCTATGCCATTTTATCTAATAAAATATGAAAACACCCAATCTCATAGTTTTCCTTCAATTCTGTAATGTGAGTGACAGTCTTTAGATATTAAGTATATCAAATACACATCACAAAAATCACTCTAAAGTCATTTCCCAATCTCATCCAGAAGTAATAAAGACTGGTATGGTGGAGAGGGATTTCTAGATCACTTTCATTTTTGGTTTCTTTTTCGTTGGGCTTGTGTAGTTCGAGAAACACGCACTTTGAGGGGAATGCTATGAAATGTTGCATTTCCAGGCCGTCCCTCAGCAGTGGCCCGGGTAACGGACAGGGGAACTCTGCTGACAGAAAACACCAATGAAAGTCGGGTGTGCCGTAGCCTGTGGGAGGAACTGAGGCAGAAAATGCACAGCAGAGTGCATGGGGCAATGTTGGTAAAGGGTAATGAATAGTATGAGCCCACTTTTCATCCCGGCTTGCCCAGGGAGGCTTGTGTCTTAAACGAAAGGAGAGGTTAGCATCTGGAGCAAGGTCGGAATGCTTCCACACAACACAGTGTCCAGCCAGGTTGCCCCCTGCTGTAGGAGGGTGGCAGACAGACTCACAATACACACACTACCACAGTGTCCTCTGAGTGATGCACTACAGTCCCTAGTTCAGTCTCTATGCTGCCCCACAATGTTCAACTGATACATTCCTATAATTACACCGAATTTCAATTTCAAACTATAAAGATGTTCAGTGTCTGTTTCTTTCTCTGTCCTGCAGAGCCTGAAGGAGATGTCCCACCTTTGTGCACAATTGGGCCTCCCTTGGAACCCAGGCCCATCATCAGCATCCACAGCATGCAGCAACTGCCACTCTGTATAACACAGGATAGCCCCACTCCACTCTCGCTCTGAAATGAAGCTGCAGGTGTGGAGGGCCAGCCCACAGTGCCCTCTCACCTCCCACAGTGGCGTCTACGCTTTAATCTAAAACACACAAGGCTTAGATGTCAACACTTTAGACAGCTCTGGTAGTGGTAACTCCCTAAAGGACCAGAATGCAGACGTAAATGCAAACCTGTTGTGTTAAGAGACAGGAATGGCCCTCATATGGAAAGCTCCCTCCTCCATCAACCTCACACTGAATAACAGGGCAGGCACACAGCCCTCTCCTGGACCCAGGCCTGCACCAATTCTTCCATCCCCCATCTCACTTGCCCAGACATGTGTGTCTGTGTGTGCCTACATGTTTGTGTGTGAGTGTACATGTATATGTATGTGTACACGTATGTGTGTGTGTGTGTGCAGAGTTTCTTTAAAAGCCTGCCTTTTTGCATCAACAGTGTAAAGAACAAACATTTTGAAGAGCCTACATGTTTCTGATTAGTGTTCCTGAAAATTCTGAAAGGCACAGGTGAGGATGAGCTGGCGTTCACCGGAGCCAGACACCTAACAAGTGAGGGCACAGTAAGTCACACCACAGGGAAGAACGGCACCCACATCTGCATGCCTTGGTCCACTTTCTGCAGCTGTAGCAATCTCACAGACCAGGAGTGCGTAAATAATGGAAGTATACCTGTGGCCCTGGAGCTGAAAAGTAGGCCCAGGGGTGAGACCCTTTGGGCTGCATGTAACATGCTAGGAACGTCATGTAACATGCTAGGAACGCCATAAGGTGTATGACGGAGAGGAAGGAAGGGAGCTGGACTTGTCCTTTATCAAGAACACACTCCTATGACAACTATACTGTTTATACAATTAGCACCAAACTTGTACAGTGGCCTCATCACCTCTTACAGGGTCCATGTACCAATACAGCATATGAACTCAGGGACACCTTCTTAGGGTTTCTGTTGCTACAATTAAAGCACAGGACCAAAAGTAACTTGGGGAAGAGTTTATTTATTATTTCCTGATCACAGTCCATTGGATGAAGCCAAGGCAGTAATTCAAACAGGGCAGAAACCTGCAGGCAGAAGCTGCAGCAGAGGTCATGGAGAATACTGCGTACCGGCTTGCTCCTTGTGGTTTGCTCAGCCTGCTTTCTTCAGACAACCTAGTACTGCCTG